AACAAATAAAGACGATTTCTGGATGCTTGACCTGATTAAGCTAAACTTGTCAATGCGCATGATCGTCCTTATATATTTCGACGGAATAACAAAGCCGTATATCTTTCCCATTTGGGAATGCATCAAATTGATAGGGAAAAAAATTGCTCCCGGCGAGGATCGAACTCGCGACCTTCGCGTTGCTCAAGTATAGGCTGTATACCTATAAGCACGACGCATTGCCACTTTGCTACGGGAGCTCTTTTGGTAGAGAGAAGGATTTTTTTTAATTTATAAACATGTCCATCAAGAAATTGATAATTGTGCGGCTTAGGACGGTATACAATAACTGTTTCGCAGTCAATGAGTGGCACAGTGAAATGTTTCACATAAATGTACAGTATACCCCCGCCCCAAAAGTATCAAAATTTACTAGTAAAACAGATGAAAGGTCTTTTTTCCGAAAAAACGTTTATTGGACGCATTTACTATGTAAATCACAATGATTTTTGTACCTAATTAGTCATATTGTTCAGAATACATTCAGTCTTGTTATCGTTTATACTGCAGTTTGATGGTAGTGTTCATGTTACACACATGAAATAATGTGTAATAGTAATAAATACCGTCACTTCCCACACTACCCAAAAATACAATCAATTGGGCTTCTTCAAAATCACTGTGACTTACTATTACGTAGTACATATTAATATAGACAATAGAGATTTGTAAAATTAAAGGCTTTTATGAGTGACCAGTAGATTAGGTTCATACACAGCCCCTTCCCAAAGGTCACCAGATATGATTCATCGACTTTCTTCGATCTGCTCGAACCCAAAGCAAGCTAAAGTCGCACTCGATCTAAATTATTAATTGCCAGGCCAACTGACCACTGTGAATTTCAGGGGCTAAATCTTCTAAACACCATAGTGTGTTCTTCCATTGTTTCTTTTTTAATCGTCGATATAAGAATAGGAAAACAAGTCAGGCCAAAAATACCTCCCAATAATCCGTTACATTACGTTCTATATTTCTAATTTGGTCTTTGCAAACCACTAACAATATGTCTGGTGGTTTTGTAGTCCACAAACTTCCATATTTATGTGACACGATCGCAAGCCATTACAAACTAGCAACTCGTCTTGCACTCATTAGGATAAAATGTACATCAAGCTTTAAGTCTTCCGTTGCGACTCGAAACAGTCTTGTATGCCAAGTAATAAAACGGCATCTCGTGAGAGTACTTTGATAGATTATCAATTATTTGTGAACAACCTTTGCTATTATTAGCAGTATGTTTATTGGAGGGAACAATCTTTTACATACGCATTAATATACAAGTAATGGATGAGTGGAGATGTTGAAATATGAGACTTTTGGCTAATACCTTGAACAAACAGCTTGAAAAACCCTATAGGACAACTCGTATAAATATCACTCAACCCCTCTTCCTATATGAATTGTAAATTGTCATTTATCTTAACTCATCTACGACGGCGATAAAATTACATACCGTATAGCGGTCGTTTTGAGAGTGGATAGTTTAGACATCATTTCTAATTGGTAAAGGTATTACACATATGATATTACATCCTTAGCATTTGTTTCGACAGTCTCAAGAGGGCTTCTGTTTTCATATATGGAGCGTCTGTTTATAGAATCTCCTCGAACATTCATTTGTACTGATTGCATCTGCAAGACAGTTCTTAGCCATTCGATGGACTCGAATTCGATTTTATGGGTGGTTATTTAACAGTAGGAACTGTCCGTGATGCTTAAGAGAGATCTTTCTAGCTGAATGAGATTCCGCGTATGATTCTATTGCGACAGATCTTTAATCAAATAACAGGGATAAATCTTCTCATAACGCGTTATATAAAATAGAAATAGGATTATCAATGAACGTAACATTAATACATATAAGCTATTATCATTCTTGTTAAGAGTGTTGTTATTAACCAAAGAGCATAATTGTTTTAGGATCAACAGATCATCTCCATAATATCTTATCTCACAAAGGCAAACATCAAAACAAATGGCTTCAGTTATATCTAATTGCATTTGAGACCGGGAAGACAAAGATGTAAAATTTGGTATAAACGATATTGAGAATAGTGGGTCTAAATTTGCTTAACCGCTTTTGAAGAGACTTGTCGAGTACTCTCTTAATTTTTCTTCTGCTATCAAAATGTTTTATTTAATACGTATGTCTCCTCGTTCAAATACCTTATTGATAGAGCTGTGCATTTCCACCTTGGTATAGCATGTGATTATTCAATTCTCTCAGCTATTATATTCTGGTTATGCGCTTTCTGTAAAGTCAGATCAGTTTGTACCGCATAGCGTCTCGAAAGAGTACTCGGACCTTCCCAACCGTCGCATCTCCTAATGTGAAATAATTGTAATAAATTGTCCGAATTAGAAAACCGATTATAATAGTACCAGTCAGGTTGTACATCTTAAAACCGTTTCGTGAACACATGTGCATCTCAAATTGATTGTTAAAATTTTACTATTATTGAGTCATATGAGAAGTTATTGAACCAGTAATCATTGTTTTATGGAACTGCACTCGTTTACTGCGATTGTTTCATAGTACAATTCCAGTGCGTTTTGTAGTAAATAATTGTTAAAATAGAGTCCAAAAATAGAGCCCAATAGCCGCTTATTACAATATTGTTTTCGGATATTTAGGTTCTACAGTCTAGACTTGCGATAAAACTCTGAGCATATGATGATTCCTACGTCCACTTGGCGAATAAGAGCACTCAGCGATAGGAAGCGATACGTGATAATGTTTGGCCAACAGTAGAGAATATCAACGGTAATACCAAGCGTTTTCACCTACAAAGTGCTTGATGTGACAAAAAGACCAGCTGAACCGTAAAGAAAAAGAAAAAGTCAAAAGTCCGGCTAAACGTAGTTTACCTTATCGTTATTTGATATCCGCGTGGTTAAAACCCTCTCGACTGCAACTGTCCGACTCGATGTACAATTTTGATTCTCCAATGTTAAATCTTTAAGGAAAGACTTTACCATTCAACTATAGAGCAGTATAATGAGTGTTATATGTTCCAGTGGTTTTCAGAGTAGCAGTCGTAAATTTGCCAACCAAAAAATGTTCACAAGAATATATCTTTCGGATGTTTAAGAAATCGAATGTTGCATTTCTTTTTAATACGTGTACAAAGGATATTACACGACATAGAACTCATTCGAAACCTCATTATTCATACATTATTAAACAAAAAAGACAAATAAGCAATTTTTTAAACCCGAAAACCGATTTACATCTCTGGCTCATATCGAATTGCTTTTTTTTTTTTTCAAGTGTAGATTTTCAACTGTTTTTTCTATAACACTGTTTTTATATACCACGTGTTTTAATGAAATTAAAATCTAGACCGTTCGATAACCGATAACGAACTTTTTTTTACCAACAAAGCCCTTACAACACAATTTAGTACGATCTTTGCTAAACTTATATGAAGTTAAAACCATCCCAAACCAGAATATAATAATAATAAACTTTACAAATATTAATTTAAATATTAAATGCGTTTATACGGTCGCATTATACGTATTAATTACGACTACTAAAGTTGCACTTATCTGCTGGATATTGATCGTTGATATCATGTTTACTGGGAAAAACATCTTTATTATGTATCCACTTGTTCATGTTCATCAATGACAGTGCGATGGAAATTAAAAGACCTTTGGAAAACCTGCGGTTATTTTACGATTAATATCTGTGATTGATCGGATACTAAGTGGTTTGGCATAACTACGGTTAATATTGTAATACGTACACGTGATCTGCACAATTCATATATAGTGAGGGTTTTCGAATATGAGAGAATGTATGCTTAGTAATATATAAGGGTTACAAACATGTTGGTGACTCAAGTTCAGAGACAAATACTGTTTAAGGAACAAAGAGGTGAGTATATTTGTCCATGCGTGCAAAAATCGTTGTTCTTCGGGCGAATTTGGCATTCATTCCAAAAGTAAATCATGCATGCACGTGATAAATAGTTAGTGCAATGTATAACATAATATAATCTGCACCGATAATTTGATCGTGGAATACAATACACAACCATATGATTTATTATTTTTAACTTGACCATGTTTACGTTGTGCCCAGGTTTGACATATGAGGATTGAAAAGAAAGTATAATCACAGCGTTGTTTCAGGAAACAGAATGCTAATCCTCTCTGACGTTAAGATGTTGTCAGACAGGGACATGTCAAAATGGAACAATCCTAAAAATAGATTAAAACGTCAAACATGCTTATCCTTGGTAAGAATAGAATATACGAGGTCTCTTTCCAATTCCGACTCATTGTCAATGTGTACGTAGCGGTATAATAATGATCAGCATTAACACTTATAGTAATGTGTTATAATATCCGAGATTAGTAAGGTATTGGTTATTTATAGCTTAATGGAGCGTTGGAATCGATTCATGATCATAAAAAGATTTCAAACAAACTCAAACAAACATTAAACATATACCGTTACTATTATGCAAAGATCATATTGTGTTAACAATTCTTTTGATCAGCGTATCACTTCTCGTGTAACACCGGCATTGTGAACATATTTCTTTGGTTTCAAGGCCACACTATCACACGCATCCAATGAAAATCTGCATGGCTACAAACAAAGGCCTGGTAAAGCAGTCTTTACGATTTCAAAAGGAATTAAACGACAGCAACTGCCGAACGTTGAAACAGGGAGTCTGTAAGCGTCTCGAATTTTCGGTTGATGTTTGTTATAAAAGAAGCCTCGAGCACGTCCATCAAAGACCCACCCAGGTATTTGGAGAATAACAATTCACTTAGGTGAAGCCGAGTCAAATTAGCCATCACACATCATATAATTGTCAGAAAACCAGTTAGGAAGTTAAAGAGTCGATCCTCGAGAGAAACAGATCACGTATACATACCATCATCGTCTACGGTCGTTTATACTCAACGTTCACAAATATACGCACTTTATACACAAAAGCTCAATGATACGAACAAAAGTAACACCCTCTTTCAATCCTTATCCACTATTCGATTCCTCGACTACAACCAACATATCGTCCGATGGCACCCAAGTATTTCAACTTGAGAGCTACCGTGCAGAAGAGCTTTTATTCGAACATAACCCGCCATATATCCTCACTCTGCCCTTTGAAAAAATCTTAGCCAAAGGCAAACGGGCTGCAAAAAATAAAACTCCGCGCCCATTAAATCAATACATGATATTCCGCAAAGATTTCGAAGCCAGATACAAATTAGAACATCCCAATCAACGACTTTCTACAACAGAGTATACTAGAATGGCCACCAAGGCATGGCGTAAACTTCCAGAACAAACAAAAAGATATTTCGTCTATCTGCAAAGAGAAGGAGAAAAGTGGCACAAGCGTACATATCCCAACTACAAATTTTCGCCAAAGAAAAATAAAAAGACAAAATGCAAGCCGGGCAGAAAGAGAAACAACGTCACTACTATTAGTAATCTTAGTCGGCCAAACAGGGAAAACAATACCACAAATAATGATAACACAAATCGTAACAACGCAAATCGCAATAACGATGGTGAAACAATATTAAGTTTTAACAATTTTTATCCAACCACCACCACGATACCGTCAACGGTTTTGTTCAATCCCACGCTTGACACCACCAATCTTTATCCCAACTTTAACACTAAAACACCTCGACCCGTTGCCTGCCATTCCACGTCTTCTTCTTCTTCTTCTTCTTCTTCCAACACCATCCTTCTTTCTCCAATTTATCCGTCACAATGCTCGGATGCACCAACACCACAATCCTTTAGCTGTGTATCCGTTACATCTCCAACAGCAATAACACCAACAACAACAACAGCAACAACAACACAACAGCCAGCGTATTCTTACAGCGATTATTCGACCTCTTCCCTTATCTCGCCCTATTTGCTTGCTCCTACCAAGCCCGACAATACGTTCGTCGACACTCTTTCTACTACCGCACTTTCTCCTCCCCTGACACCAAGCGATAATGGCAACAGTCATGGGTATAGTTACGGAGAACACATCGAGAACGTAATAAATGAAGTGACAAACGGCAATTTAGGACAGCAAACAAAGGGCAGTGAATGGGAGAATTTTGGATACATAGATGATTTAAGGAAATACATGTTTGGGAATATGGACAACGATATGAATCACAATTTGCATGCTGATACCGATATCAGTAGTCATCTTGATAATATCCTCGGTAGTGCTGTTCAAACTGATAGTCATTTAAATCGATACACTTTTAACAGATCATCTGACGAATTGAGATGTTTTGCCGATATCTCGTACATTCAAACTATGTAGTTTATTAGCGAAATATTTATAATTAGATATATATATATATATACAAGGACACTCTAGCACTAGACTATTTACTATATATTTGCTATACATTCATTCTTCTCTCTTTCCCCATATTCACAATGCATTATTTCATCACATGGTAATCTCGCGCAATGTAAACATTAATCAATAAATATTTATCAAATATTAGTAGCAAAAACTGAATACGGAATCAACTTACCTGCGTTAGTAATTCGTGTTTCGACTGTTGGTGTACTGTTCAACATATCGGCGACTATACCGCTCAAGTCACCGGCAAAAGTCTGAGGATATCCATACTCAAACCCATCGCATTCAGAAAATTGTACTGGTCCTCATAAGTATCTTCGACTCTAAATTCTTGATAGACAGTCCCACCACTTTCTTGGTTTCGAACGGCATTTTTCCCTTTTCTTTTCGCTCCTTTGTCATATGGTCCAGTGTACTGTCTGATACGCAGCGGTTTTGCTTGTTGACTTCCTTTTACGACTACGCATTTCTTTGGTTTGTAATCGTAATCTGGATATAATTCTTTATGAATTTGAAGAGCAAGTTTGGCTAATAGATTGAAATACTTTCTCAAACCCTCATCTGAATGCCAAATAAATGCAGCCAGTTTGCTCATAACTTTACTATCGACTTTGGTATCACTAGGCACACTCCGCCTTCTAGCATCAAAGTCCTTTTTAAAGATGATGAAACCATTTTGAGGACGTGGAGGCTGACCTTCTTTGCGGGAACGTGACTTGCTCAACCGAGTACCCTGATGGACTAGTTCTATGGGGAGAAGATGAGATTTATACGGTGGGCGGGTGATAAGCCGAAAATTTTCTTCTGAGAATTCCTGTGACCTCAAAAGGATATCCAGCCCCGAACAATAAGAATAATTTGCGTCCTGACGGACTAGGTCTATGGGGGGAAGATGAGATTTATAAGTGATAAGCCGAAAATTTTCTTCTGAGTATTCCTGTGAAAGGAAATCTAGCCCCGAATAATAATAATAAGAAGAATTTGCGTCCAAATCAGGAATTTCTTGGTGCATGGATAATATCGAGGGAAAAGGTGTTTTTTATACGTTTATGATAGATGAAACGTATGACAGAATTTGTGTAGTCAATTTTCGTGTAATGTCAATCTATTCTCGGTTGAATTAATTGTTGCAAGCTGAGTGATTATTGCGTTGGGTTTTTTTATCTCATTTAGAAACATTCGTTTTATCCCTCGAAACGGGTGCTTATATATTTATTTATAACAGACTGTTGTTTGTCTGTCTAGTCGAGCATGAACATCATGTGTTCTTCATGTTACGCATTTTCGTTATTAAAAGTTCTAAATACGTGGATATACAACCTTTTTCGCTTATCATCTGCCGTTTTTCGGCGACTTTCTATTGTTTATAGTGCTACAGCAGCGCATATGACATTTGCATATTTTCCCTTTACACCCCCCCCGCGAAAGACTCCGAACGTGACCACTTGTTCTCGTGATTGGAAGTTGGCATATGGCGCAGGTAATAAATACTATCGATAATGGACCAAATTGCATTGTTAAATGGACCAAAATAGTTAGCATGAGCATTTGCTTGGTAACAATGGGTAACGGTAACGATAAATGCTTTATCGATTTTTCTACATGTGCTGTAGCACCTATATCCGTTATCATCTTATCTGTTTATTATCTTGCCAAAACACTTAAATTTACCCAATCAATCCAATCCCATGACACATTTGATCAAGTGCACAAGATAAGATAATTATCTCACGTGGCCATCCGATATTACCAAAGATAGTCTACGTGCATGCCTAAATAACAGACGGAAATTTGTTCCTTGTTCAGCTGTGAAGCCAAACCAGTTTTGATGTGATACAAGAATTCACTAATGAGCTCTGTGAAACAAATTGTTTATCGTCCGTTTCCGCGTGATATCAATAAGACCAGCGAATGTGTCAAAAGAAGATTGGAGGGGAAGATTTAAAGCCTATTTTTTTGCACTAACTAAAACGATTAATAAACGTTTCGGAATGCGATTGGAGAAAGAAAGTTATCTGACCCACCGCCGATTATGCAAAAGTACAATCAATGCAGGAAAATCAAAACAGTGTCCTACATACCTTTTCCTCAATTGCCGGAACATATGACCAGAAAGCTTATTACAAATCGCCGGCTTTTATTTCCGAATAATTGGCTACTTAAAATTTTTTTGAAAAAGTTTTTTTTTGAGAGTGTCGTCTACGCCGAGTTCTCATAAACTAATTCAGAAAGACGACCAAAAAACTATTGAACCAAGCTTAAGTTTGAGTAAAGCAGCATCGTAGTTATTTTAAAGACTGTCTGGTATTTCGGTTTACTAAAGTGTATACTATATTAGTCAAACATCTGTTAGCCAATGCCTATCAAAATACGACATTTCCATATACACCCTGTTATGAAGCTGCAGCATAATGTTTTTACCTAGCATATACGCAATTGTAGGAATAACAAATCGACTTGAGTAAGGCTGGGCTTAATATTATCTTTGGCAGCTGCGTTTATTGTATCAAGATTGCCATTACTGTTAATCGACCGTCGTTCACATTTAAATTAATCCTGATATTATTAACCGTAAGACTGTACCTACGCGAAAAAGTTAATGGTAAATTTTTAGTAATTACTATAATGATAGCATTATTTATTGTTATTATTGTTATTACATACTAATGCCGTCTGTTTATGATAGCTTTTAAGAAGAATCGTTATAATGCTCTTTTGCAAATCGTGTTGATAATAGTTTATTATTATGTGTAATAACTTCTATAGATATTTGAATATTATCTATATAATCTTAACATAGTAATTGAAATGAGTTTTACTTATTGTAAATATCAATAGTAAATGACCTTACTGAATATCATAATTGAAGTGAGTTTGCTTACTGTAAATATCAATAGTAAATGACCTTACTGAATATCATAATGCAAAGAGAATGTTCGGCATTGATAATCAACAAAAATGGCTATATTCTAAGTAATTTCTCGAGAATCGAGCCAAGGTTCCAAGGAGCATCAATCAAGTGCTTACATTTTTACCATATTTAGTTTGATCAACTAGTCCACATTCCTACTACTACGATAATTATTGATTTAGAAAAGTTCCGAGGTTAAATTCTTTACGAAAACAAGTGTCAAGTGACGCGGATGCCTATTTTACCATTATTGTTTCTTATTTTATACTTTTTTTACCGAATTTGGTTATTGTGTGCTATATTGCGTAATAGCATTGATAGTGATGTCATTCATTTAATGTTACCTGTATATGTAGTGAAGGTAAAACCAGAAATTCGAGCTTTGTCCAATAACCAGTTTGTATACAATAAAATCACTTTTTGGCATCCCAACACGATTTAGAAACCACTAATCCACACCAGCCAGTCTTTTTATTTCCAACTCATTCTTTGTTCTGTCACCAACACTATTAACAAGATCTTACTATTACCTAAGGAATGTTTGTCACTCCTTTTCCTACTTGAATTTGAATTAAAGATTAATCCATTGTCTTTAGAATCAAAACTATCAAGAATGTAACTTCAGTAGAATCATTCTTGGAAACTGTCACAAATTGGAATCTAATACTAAATCAGAAAATGGTAACATTCAGGTTACTACTACTACATGCTTCAAGTAATCATTTATTCTGTCGAGGCTTGCCAGAATTACCCGCTTAAATTTATTTTTATAATGCACCCAGAATAGAAGGCTTGTTTTAAAACAACTGTAATCAGAAAGTCGTACCTAGGCTATATAATACTGACTCCCGGATGCAGATAATCACGTTGAGTTCAAATGATTGATACATGTATGTACTATTATCCATAAACATCCGTTCCAATCCCCATGGCGAATTTCATTATTTCAGTCTGAATGAGAGATGAATAGTTTGCTTAATGGATATGGTTCTTTCGTCAGACACAATTGTATACTCATGTATACCATACCTTGAGCGGTGACATTCTGTTGATCGCGTTTAACCCAATAGATCTTGTCCATACTATTGGACCGAATTCAGTAGAATATAGTTTATGTAATTTATCCACAGCTCCAATCATGGCAAGGTTGGGCAAGTATCGAGCAGATGAATATTCACCAAGTAATTCCAGATCGCCTAGAAAGTATTATATGATTATGATTGTGCAGAGAGTACTTTGGTTGGCATAGTTAAATTGTAAAAGATTACCAATGTTTTGTCCCGTGTTAACTCCAGCCTGAATGGTTTGTGTCAGGCATTGGGCATCTGCAATGCCTTGATTTAATCCTTGACCAGCAAGCGGGTGTATGGTATGTGCTGCATCACTGTTAACAGGAACAAATATCAGACCACTTCAGTTTATTGTCACATTACTTCACTTGCGCCCTTTCTTACCCAATCAATGTAATCCTCTCTTTAACATATCTCTCAGCGTTCCTCATCTTTAATGGAAAGGATGCTCTACTCTTTTCTTGCACACCCAAAATCCTTGGGGGTAATTTACTATCATCCTCCATGTTCTCACCCGTGAAATTCTTGGTTTCGACTTGTTCCCGCCATGTAATTTCATCTTGTAAATTTATATCGTCTCCCTCCAAAAGCTGCGATTGAAAATACTGTAGGTCGGCCAAACGCAGTCTGAAAGCAGCATTGACAAGATGAACGAAATCGCTTTCTGGAAGGAGACGAAGTTTTGACGCCAATGCAGGAATAGTAGACCATACTAGTGAAGAAAAGCCGTCTCTAAGCTGCACACAAACGGAATATATAATATTATATAGCTTCGAGTCCATTAGACGACAGAATCATATAATAAGTAAACTTGCCGGTAACATGGCAATGGGACCAGTTGGAAGGAATCGCTGCCACGCTGTCTTATTCTCCACTAGAGGGTCAACATGTAACGTGGCAACAACTGCATTAGCATCATAATCCCAACCAAGCATATCGATTCCAGCAAAAGAACGTACAGCTGAGTTTACTCCATCGGCGCCGACCTATACAAGCGGTGAGTGACAGATTCGTCTTAACAAATCCAGTTGTGTGTAAGTTCTAAATTGTATCATGCTTACCAGTAGACGCGCCTTTAAAGTCTCTCCACTACTTAGAAGCACGGTGGGCCAATCTGACAGATCGAATTCATTGCCCGACTCACTCTCGTAAAAGATTTTTTCAACCCTTGTGCCATCAAGAACGTCCACATTGCCATCATTGCATTCCTCAAGACGGGCAAGAATCGCACGTTGAATATGATTATTTTCCACAACCCATGCAATGGCATCTGACTTGATATTGTCGAGATCAAAGCTTAATCTAGAGTCGCTGATACCATCCCAAACTTGCATGAATTCGTAGGGTCGGGTGCGAGATCTATCTACATGTTGCCAGGCTCCTATGTCTAATATCCAAACCGAACGGCACGCTGGGTTAACAACGACATGGAAAATACCATAAACGGCTCTGGACAAAGGCCTACACTCTACCTTTTAGAAATCCGACAGATCGAGGTGTCAACGAACTTACGCGATTCGAAAATTCCTCCTCGGATGGGTTCCAGCCTTTAATTTTGGTCAAATCGCTGACTTCAATTAACGCAACTCGCAGCAAGGAAGTTTCTGGTGTGGATGCTATTAGATATGGTATTGGTTAAATAAGCAAACACTGTGGCTGATAGAATGATTGAACAGGTGTCTATATTGACCTAATGCACAGGCTAGCGTGCATCCTGTTATGCCGCCACCTACGATTACAACATCATATATGTTGTGAGGTAAATGAATTTCATCAAAGTGTTGCGTCTCGATTGATGGAGTAATGTCTTTGTGCAAGCTTTTCGCTTGTACAGTCCCTACGGTAAAACATCGTAAATTGAAATATGGAATTTGATATTGCAGCTGAGATAATCTCCTGGTTTCATTTGATATAAATAATTTTTTTGCTGTGCTAGGTCGAATGAAACTACTATAACGGCGCAAGCTTGTTGTAGTTGCCCTATTGGACCAACAGAATCTGCAAAGAGCGTTAAGATACATGGCAGAGTTCAACATTACAACACTTTTTAAATAACGCTCATTTATAGTCGATCTGTACGGAATAAATGAAAGGATAACCCATTATAAGGCGCACATGTTTGGTGTGTTTTGTGGTTTTAATAATAATGCCATGAAAAATGCTCGTTGCAATATGATTGCTAAATCATTTCTACGCTTCTTGATTGAGAATTTTATATAAATTTATGACCTAAAATTATGAAGTAGCGGCTAGAATAATAGGCAACACCAATCGCAATCTTACTGTATGGTTTACGCGAATTATGCAGCTTACGCGTAAAGCGCCCATTTCTGTTGATGGAAATTATCTTCAAGAAAGCTAAAAATGAAGTAATAGTAAGAACTTGGGAAGATTGCTAAAATCCGTGTTTTAACAACCTGTTGAGTAAGACGTCAATTTTTCCGGTTTACAGTCACGTGTACGCTACTCTTGACGCTTGCTATTTTAATGCATAGTGGGGTGGCCAACTAAAATGTAAATTCTACGAATTCTTTGTATGTGTTCTTCCCATACCATATTTAGTAGTAGGTATTTTGCCAAATTTGGCAATAGATTGGGGGAGGTTAGGGTAATTTACCTCCTCTTGAGTGCTAAACTATCTCCCTTACCAAATTTAGTACCTCAAAACGTTCCCAAATCTGGTCATAACTGATGCAGGTAGACGCGATAGCCACTCATACTAGAATACAGACAAGAATCCTAGAGATGCGAGTACCTGCTCGAATCTGAAACTCCCGTAAGAACTAGAACCTTAGGTCATTCCACGGTATTACGCAAAGTGATGAATCATCAATCCACGTATATCCCTCAAAGACATATCGCCACTCTTTTCATGATATTGCTGCATAGCCTTCACCGTAACGATGCAAGTTTAACGGCATCCAACAACGGACTAGTTGTTTCACAATAAGAAATGCCCAAGTTGTGACAAAGAACTGGGTTGGGTATGAAAACAATATCAGGAAGCACGCATCATCCGGAGCGATTAGCATCGAAACTCGTTACCAATTTCATAAAACATTAGTCTCAAGATTTACTTTTTAATAAACCCAACGTATCATATTCTATTACATATCAAATGATCTGCCCCGGCAAAAGGCAGTAAACGTGCACAATTTTATTTCAGCATCTTGTTAACTCAACCATATTGACATACGTGGAAGCACATCGTATAATTCGAACTCGATTGAATTACAAATTTATTCAAAAAAGAGAGGTTGAGTATCTAAATTATAAGAAATGCACAGTGTTAATATTAATATTGTAAATTGACTTTATTATTATTTGTATTCACGTGTAACCATACCTGCAGCTGAAACCATATCATAGCTATTTCTTGGTTTAGGCAGATTTCCAGTAGGTAAGAGCTTACTAGAATATTTACTCTCCTTTTCGAGACGTGATAAGGGTTTTACATCATTATGATAGATGATATTCCATGCGTTGCTGTCAGAATTGTCCTCTAATATAAGGTCGCCAATATCACGATAAAGTCTCTGTGCATCTGGACGCTTATCAGGATCAGCATCACAACACTGTTCGGCAAGTTTCTTGTATTCCTCTGGTGCGGAACCAGGCATCGATGGTCGTAGTCCGCCCATAATATCGCATACTAAATCTCTATCGAACTGCCTATCTCTAAAAGGTGGT